CTTTCTTCTATCATTTTCATTCCATTAATCTTTGGATAAAATCCTAGTTTCTTCTCCTACCTTAGTTGAAGAGATATAAGGACCATTTTCAACTACATCCCATATATTTAAGTCAATTGATTCAATAAAAATTTGCATATGGGATTTTCAATAGTTATATCCTTCACCATTAAATATAGGAGGTCTACTAATAGAATTTCCTTCGGGAAAAAGAAAGTTTGATGAGGCCATTTTTAATGTTGAAGCTTTTAAGCCTTATACAAGATACATGCTCTTGATACCACTTGTTAGTCACGTAGCCTTGTATAACTTAAGATGGGGGTGAATTAAGTTATCCAATTTTTCCTCCTTTTTAAGTTTTAGAGATGCTTTCTCATAAATTCAATTTCTTAGACAAATTGTATGTAAAGATTAATGATGTAGAAATACTCAAACACAATGAAATAAAAAGTAATTAAGAAAAAGAGAATTGCAAAGTTGATTTTATATTAGTTCGACCAACCTTGCCTACATCCGGTCCTCAAGTCTCCCACTTGAGATTTCCACTATTCTTGTAACTCTTACAAGACTTGAATCCTCCAACACCTTGGAACTCCCTTTCCTTGTGTTGAGATTCAAAAACCAACAAGGAGAAAACCCTTTCTCCTTTACAGAGATCCAATGATCAATTGAGTATGATGTAGTAACTCTTTTTGAAGAGTAGATTTTACACTTTGATGATCTTAAAGAACTCTTTAGAGATTTTACAAATGTCTTTGGTCAAGTAATTTTTGTAAATGATTTTCACAATAGAGTTCGAAACCTTTTTCTGAAAAATTGTAGGTATTTATAGACAATTATTCTTAGGTTGTGTCTTTTCATGAAGAGTTGTAACTCTTTATAATTTTTCAGAAAAGATACTCTGGAAATCGATTACAACACTTGGTAATCGATTACAACGATTTTTAAGTTCAAAATGTTTGAAACGTTGTATCATTTAAATTCAAATTTTGAAGTTTCATCTTCTAGTAATCAATTACAATCACTGGTAATCGATTACTAGAGCATATTTTAACATTTGAACAAAAGTTTTCTTTCTCTGGTAATCGATTATCCGATAGATATTACTGAATTAGCTTATGAAAACTTAAGATATAGAAAACTTCTATTTTCCAATTAAAATATTTTTGTTTAATATTTTGAATACTCTTTTTGCTTTCTTTTCAAACAACTTATTTTTACATGCAAAGAGATTAAGTTTAGGTTTTCTTGAAATCCTTATTTTAATGGCCAAGTAAAATTTGAAAATTCTAAAAGTTCATTTTACATATTAAGCTAAGTAGTCAAGACTTATCTAGTTATTACTTGAAATCTTGCTTCTTGGAATAGAGGTTGCTTACTCCAAGAACGAAATTTTCATCTCCCAAAGGAAGTATGTACTTGATCTCTTCAAAGAAACAGAAAAGCTTGGATGTAGAACCTCAATAGTTCTTATATAACAGAATCATAGAATTGAAAGTAAAGACAATTCTCTTATAGAAAAGATCAAATATCAGAGATTGGTAGGGAAATTGATTTATGGCTAAAAACCTATTTTGGTCCTTTATAATAATTGTTTGTTTCAATTTAGTCCCACTTTTATTTTCGGTTTCAATTTGGTCCCAAACTAATTAATTGGTTTCAATTAGGTCCCTAATAAATTAATTGGTTTCAATGTGGGACTTGCGTCCAAATTTCTTTAACGGTGTTAACTGTTAGCCACATGGATGTCACATAGATGCATAAGTGGATGTCACGTGGATGCCAATTTTTTTGAAAATACCTGAAACCAGAACGGCCCGTTCTGAAACCAGAATGGGCCGTTCTGGATGCACTCTTGGTGTGTTAATTTTGCATTTGAAACGGACCGTTCCAGATGCAAAATTAACACACCAAGAATATAGCAGAACGAGCCTTCTAGATTCAGAACGGCCCGTTCCAAAACTGAGAATAGAATATTATTTGTTAATTTTATTAAAAAATATAATTTTGAAAAATATTTTTTTATGGTAAAAATTTTAAAATTACTTATTTTTATAAAATACAATTATCTTATAAATAGAGTAATAACTTTTTATTTTTCTCTTTCTATCTGAATAAATATTTAAGTGTCACTTTATAATTTTTTGTAACTTATTTAAAATTAGAGGAATAAAATGATAAAAATTAATAAGATAAACATAATAAAATTATTAATTTATTTTCTTTTAGTGTCCTCTAAATTTTTACATTCATTTAAAACAAAAATATTTTGTATGTTAATTTGAATTAATTTAACGAAGTATCATATGATTTTTAATTTTTTAAAATTTTTTATAAATTTGATCTATACATGAAAAGATTTTTAATTTAACAATTACATTTTTTAAATTTTGATATAGAACATTAATTATTAAGTAGAATAAATCTATCAAGACTTACTCTTGAAGTAAGTAAATTTTTTCTTCATTAAAAATGAAGATAATTTTACCACAAAATAAAAAACAATTAAACAATAAAATAAAATATATAAAAAATATTAATATATTTATTATATTAGATATAACAACATAATTAAAATATAATTAATAATATATATTTTATAAAATTATTAATATTTTATATATAAAAAAAGAATGAAAAAAATTTTAGTGGGGGCAAGTGCCCTCGCTATGATTAACTTAGATCTGTCCCCGCATATGGTTGTGTGGTGAAATGTTAGTCCTGCGTATCCTCTTCCTTTACTTCAGGTTCTACCTCTTCAAGAACAGGTTGTTGTTAGGGTACATCGTTAATGACTTCAAGGAAAAATACCATGTCATTTCATCCTTTACTGGTTTCAATTAGGTCCCTAATAAATTAATTGGTTTCAATGTGGGACTTTTGTCCAAATTTCTTTAACGGTGTTAACTTTTGGCCACATGGATGCCACGTAGATGACACGTGGATGCCAATTTTTTTGAAAATACCTGGAACCAGAACGACCCGTTCTGAAACCAGAACGGCCCATTCTGAAACCAGAACGGGCCGTTCTGGTTGCACTTTTAGTGTGTTAATTTTGCAACTGGAATGGGCCATTCCGGATGCAAAATTAACACATCAAAAGTTCAACCAGAACGGCCCGTTCTGGTTTCAGAACGGGCCGTTCTGGTTCCAGTTGTTTTCAAAAAAAATTACCATCTACCTATGCATCTACGTGGCATCCACGTGGCAAACAGTTAACTCCGTTTAAATAATTTGGACGGAAGTCTCACATTAAAACCAATTAATTTATTAGGGACCAAATTAAAACCAATTAATTAGTTTGGGACCAAATTGAAACCAAAAATAAAAGTGGGACTAAATTGAAACAAACAATTATTATAAGGGACCAAAATAGGTTTTTAACCTTGATTTATCTATCACATACAAGACCGGACATTGCTTATGCAATTAGTGTAGTGAGTCAGTATGCATGACACAAGAGAGAGACACCTGCAAGCAATTGATAAAATTCTCCAGTACTTGAAGTCAAGTCCAAGAAAGGGACTATTGTTCAAAAAGGACGACACTTTAACTATGAAAATATATAGTGATGTTGACTATGCATGTTCTATCATTGATAGAAAATATACTTCTAGGTACTATATGTTTCTTGGAAATAGTCTGGTAACATGGAGGAGCAAAAAGCAAGATAAAATATCTCGTTCTAGTGTAAAAGCTAAATTTCGAGCCCTTTCTCAAAGAATGTGTGAAGGACTCTGGATGAAAATCATTTTGGATGACCTTAAAGTCAAGGTGGACAACCTCGTGTAGTTGTATTGTGACAATAAATCTGTCATGAGAATTGTCCATTATCCATAACAACATAATAGGACTAAACACATTGAGATTAACAGACACTTCATCAAAAATAATCTAGATAGAGGCTGAGGTTACCACTCATGTTCCTACAGAACTTCAAATAACAAACATTTTTACAAAAGGGCTCCCTTAGGGTAGATTTCAAGATCTTGTAGGCAACTTAGAAATGGTTGATATTCATTTACCAACTTGAGGGGAGTGTTGTAAATATCCTAATTAGAAAAAATATTTGTAGAATCTTCCTAATTAGAGAAAATATCTATAGAATCTTCCTATTTATTTTTCAACATATTATAGTTTCTTATTTCCTTATTTTGGATGATTAGATTGTTACACAGATATAATGAAAATGTAATTCGTATGAATGAAATAATAAAATCATTCTCTCTTTTCAAGTGTTGGGCACAACCATAATTGATTAAATGTTATGTTTAATCGATTATGGTTTCACAAAACTCACAAATTTGCATACAAACTCCCTAATATGCCCAAATCCAACACATTCTAACTTCCATCAACTATTATTAGGTCAAACAAATCGAACCACATCAAACCAAATACCAAAAAAAAAACAAAACAAACCCAAGAGTTTTTAAACATGCATGAAGCTCATTTTACGATAAGAGTAACTAGATCGGGTTCTTACCTGGTAGGCAAACAAGAAGCTTTGGAGGTGGGGGATTGGGGGGTGGAACTAGCAACTTCTTGAGTGGGTGGACACGACACCTTTGTGGCTTCAAGCAATAGCTTCTTCGGGTGGGTTTAGAAACAACGATAAGGGCAATTTTGACGGAGTGCTCCTCAAAACACGCACAAGAATTTCTTTTCTATTTCCACGGTCTCCAGCAAAGAAACAATATTCACAAGGGACCCTCCCTTTTTTAATTTCTTCTCTCTTTATTTCATTCTTACCAAACAAACTAACTTATTTCCACACACCCATTTCCATCCCTTCCTTCCTATTTCTCATCTACTTCATTGCAACCAAACAGAGCGTTAGAATATCCGTAATTCAGAGTATATAGTCAATCTAAAATCCTCTTTAGATTATACATAAAATATAAAATGAAAGGTAGTAATCATTAGAACTCGAAAATTAAAAAGAAAAACTAATACTTTTCTTTAAGTAATTAAAAGGATTATCATATTAATTAAGGAGATTTAAAAAATTTCTCTTGTAAAATTGGTGGTAAAAGCCTAAAAAGGGCAGTTTTGCTGTGTTACAAATCTTGTTTTTCTGATGAATTGAGTCACCATATAAACCTTTGAATTCCAGGCTCATGATCCCAATGAAATGGACGAAATAGAAACACCACCATTGTAAAGATATTGACACCAATATATAGTGTGCCTGTGAGAATCCAACTATGATCATCCCTATTGTTACAATGAAGCACCAGAAAATAGAATGGTATAGTGTAGTATCTGAACTCTATTAGTGGAGCTGGTACAAGAACAGCTGCAGTAGCCAAGAAGTATGCCAATACCCATATTTTACTTTTAATTTTTCCTGTTTGACAAAGGATAATAGTTAATCCCACAAGCAATTGAATCAAACAAGAATGCATAGTATGTCTATGTACTAACCCAGCATGTGGATGATGGAAAGCCATGAACATGTGTAAACTGGAACTAGAAGATATTTAATTGACCAGTGAGCCATGATAACTTTCCTCCAAAGGTAAAAAGGGTAGTGCCGATTATCGGCAAGGAGGTATGGATGAGCTACACTGCAAAAATTTAGAGACACAAGTCAGCCAAAAAGTTAATGTTAAACATGTTTTAGAGAATGCATCAGATATAATAAAAGTTGATTTAATATTCTTGTAGTGGAGATTTAGAATGAGTTGGACTTTATGGGAAAGCGTGACATTCATGCAACACAAGTGGAAAAGTTATCACTTGAAATAGATAGAAATGCTGGAAAACGGTATTAAGAGAATAAATAAAGGGTCCTGATAATGAGCACCTTTAGGACATTGGTTAAGGAATTAATAAATAGAATGTTTTATCAGAAATCATGGTGGTGGTGCCTTAGTAATAATAAATTGTTAGATTTTCCTATAAAAGTTTCCCACTTTTGATTAGCATTCTCCATAAGTAATAAGTTGGAAAGATGAGCTTCAGATTTCACAGTATGGGAGCAAAAACTGTAAATTCACCAGAACATGCAATTATTTGTTGACAATCAAAAGACAGATTCTGCTTGCTAGTTTACTTAGTGATCTGAGTCTGACATAACCTGAAAAAGTGTACTGAGAGAATGCCAACAACAAGGGCCAGAGACATCTGAAAGAAAAGAAGGGGCCTACTCTTCCGAAACAACATCTGAAACAGGTCCACAGCCTGGGTGATAGTGAAATGCATAGGAGCTTGAGCCAGTACAGAAACCAAACTAAAATAAAGCATCTGAGCAAAATGTGGGGTAACTGCGTGTGCTTCTTTTGCACCTGCAGTGTCAGTAGGATGTGTGAGAAAAAAGGGTCTTAGGGGCCCAAAAGATCAATAGGGTAAACAAGAAAGAATGTTACCCAGAACAACACTTCCATTCCAATAGACAAATAAAAGAAAGGCCATCAACACCATAAAAAAGGGGCTAAATGAAATTAAAAGCTCCCACTTCATGTGCCATAATGTTACAAGGATGGACCATATTTCATCAGCAAAACCTGAAAAATAATATCAATAAAGGTATTCTATATATTGCAGAAAATGGTAGGTGTGGTAGGGGATTAACTTTTTGCTATCTGTAGTTATATAGTTATAATTATTTTCTTAGGAGCATAAAATAGACCTCATGGTTTTCTTAAACACGTGAAACCAAACCTGAAGAAAAGGAAGGATAAGAAGCATGTGAACTAGATGACTGTTCAATGGTATCCCCAGATTTAACAATTTTTCGCTTTCTCAGATTGACACCCTCTGTACTTGTACTACCAGTAGCATATGCCCAACCATGCTTGATAGATACATATGACGCAGCAGTTTTTGTATCGTGCTTTCCATGAGTTGCAGAAATATTTATGATCCCAGTGCATGCAACAAAAAGCACCCATATAATATTTGTTTGTCGAATAACAACTGCAAACGCTCCAATCTATATAAATAAAATTGGATGCATTACCACCACTATAAAATAGAATGACAAATATAATTATCTATGTATTCTGTTAAAAGTATCCGTATACAGGAAGTATCTGTGAACCTATTCACCAAGAGTTGTGTTGTGTTGTAGAGGCTGAAGTCAGAAAACCAAGAGACTAAGGGTGTGTTTGATTGTGTTTTGTTTTTTGAGGTTTAAAAACTATTTAATAAAAGAATTTCAAAAACTAATATTTAGAGAATAAAGTGAGGGAAAAGTTGTGATAGTGTAAGAAAGAACATAAACAATAGAAAACTGAAAGTGCAAACCAAAACAATTAAGAGATGTTCTGGTTTTTTGATTTTATAAACTAAAAAATAGATATTGAGGAGTGCCAGCAACACACTGAACTCTCCAACACACTCATCTTAATACACTCTCTCTTATTGGTTAAAATTTATTAAAAATCACAAAATCAGGAAAGACAGTCATTAAATAGGGTATATGACCCACCAACCTTGTGTTTTCCAGTAAAATTCAACCAATTAAAGTGTGTGTTCCTAAAATTTCTCCTAGATATTATATTTTAAAACAGTTCAAAAACTACTCTTCTCAAATAATTTATTTATAAAAACAGAAAATAGATTTCAAAAATAGGATTCAAACAGGCCCTAAGAAGTTTGTGATCTAAAAGCAAACATCCAAGAGATAAGGGATAACAAGGATCCATTTTAACTCAGAATAGCTATAATGAAGGAACTAATCCTATAAAAGTTGTTTCTTTAATGAAATCAAACTATAAAGAAGAATTGATATAGTAATTTTTTAACTTAGTTCTGGAATGAGCACACATACATATATATTCTTAGTTATAAGTACAGAGGATCATAAGGAGAAACAAATTGGGTCTTTGCAGTTAATATGTCCAATAACAACAAAAAGTAGGCATCTGTATCTATATTCATTGTGTTAAAAAACGTAGGTCCAACTGTTTTAGAAGTGCCACAAGATAATAAAATAAAGGAACTTGGATAAAAATAATATACACAAATAAAAAAAGATCAATTTATATATTTGTTTACAACGTTAAAATCTAAATATACCTTACCAATGCACTAAACCAGTAATTTTTCTTCAAACTTGCAAGATACATAGCCAGCACTGCAGTAACAGATGCAACATCTGTATAATAGAGAAAAGTGAAGAACCAGTGAAGGGGGTACAGGGATAGGACCACTGCATGAAGCATCACCTTCCTATCATTAAGGGTTGGCTTCAAGTGAGTAACTATGTCATATAGAATTACACTGCAGACAACTGCTAAGACACCATTAACTGATCGAAGAATTGCAGTGGAGCACATGTCAAAAAATGATGAAGCAGCTTCTAAATAGTAAAAGCCTGGAAATAAAGAAGTAACATGGGCAAGTGAAAGATAGTACCTGCAAAAGATATTAAATTGTAAGGATCATTCTTGATATTTCATAATTCATACTACATTATACTTCCAAATTTTGATATTTTATCTTGGCATAACTGTTTAAGTTTGCTCAATCTTCTGATCCAGAGATTTTAGCAGCACTTGAAATATTATCTTCTAGTGACCAGATAGTTACAAAGAGTATAAATTGTATGGTATACAGTTTTCAATTATTCAAAGTGGCCCAAGTTCTTTTCCGTAAGATTTTAGGATTCATTCACTCAAGTGGAAAAATCATTGCATAATCTCATGTTTCCTTCCAGGAGTATGGTTATCATTTCTCAATCATACTACAGTTAATTAAACAGTGCAAAGTTATAAATTGCTATATTTGGAATTTTTTATTATCTTGAATACATGGATGATGCTTCAAGTGTGCTTAATCATAATCATTAAGAAGAATGCTCAGACCAGAAAAAGCTTTCTCTATATATATGTCAACTGTCACCAACTGCAATTCCAGCTCAAGCACAGAAGCAGACCAAAAAATTTAGAACTGTGCCTAGAAAACACTAAAAACACCCCATGGTTCCCATCTTGTCTGGAAAATATCCAAATTGATCCCATATTCCTATAAGTAATAACTGCTTTGTCAAATGCACATGAAACATAGTAGGTGTGCCACAATAAAATAAAAAAAAATAGTAATATAATACAAATATTGCACTGAAAGTTCAACATACCCTAAATATTGATATCTAATTTATTATTTATGAATGATTTCATACTTTTTGTTCTTCATCCTACATTATTCCTTTTTCCATTTGTTTTCATTTCATCAGACATATGCAGTTCTTTTTTTATGGTTAGTAAAATTAGTAAAAGTTTGGGGGAGGAGAGGCTGCCACATTCCAAGGACAAGGCATGCCACATGTTCCAACGAGGATAATACAACCAGAGCCAAGGGAGATTGTTGTCAGTGAAAGCTGAGACTAAGCCTTTCAGGCAAAGTGCTTCAACCATTTGTAGCTGAACTAACCTCCTTTGGCATAACAAATAAGTAGTTGCATATAAACTAGTGGGATCAAATTTTTCCTGAAGATGGGACTGGAGGTAAAGGTACCAAAGAGAAAAGAAAACATACAGGCCAGGAGGAGTAGTAATCATAGGGTCCCAACTACCAAAATTTCCTTTGCAGTACTGCTGTGCCTGTGGTATATGAAATATCTCATCCTGCAAATCATGGATCTCAATCATATTGAATAAAGGGTAAATTTCTTCAGTATGAATTTAAGTATCAACAACTGTCTGCTCCCAGTTTAATAAACTTTTTCTTACCATATATGGCTCAGGAACTATGCGATTAACCATTATGGTGGTAGGAATAACCCATAAGCTCACTATTGCTGCAAGAGCTATTTTTCCCATTTCCCTCTCTATCTTCAATAATGACAGAGGACCACGATGGCAACTATATTTCCAGATGTCAAAAAGTGTATATCAATGTCAACTGCAACAGCTATGATTCTGCACGCTCATGCTTAATTGTCACCGTAAAGTTTCCCTGAATAACCAAACTGAAGAAGCTATATGAACTGTATAACTGATGTAGAAATCATTGTCGTGAGAACAAAATTGAAATACCTAAACAGGGAATACTGCAGTGACATTTACATATCTACCACATGACAATCACAATAGACCCATAATAGGGTGCTTTGCCTTGTCAAAACTAAAAACATGCATATTTCAAAGGCAAAAGAAACATCCAATCTCCAGATAACAAATAGGCATTCAAAATCAGCCCAAACCCCAAAATCAATTTCTAGTTAGTACAAAATTATTCCATTGAATGACAAGCCTTCTATGCAAGTTATAATTTGCTTCTGACCAAGTCACAGTGATAATAAGAAGTTTTTGGGAAGTAAATAGAATTGGGGGATAAAAGCTGTAGAGTCTAAGTTGGCTGTGTTACATGCAGATAATATAGCAGCTGGTTAGGGAATTCGGGGCCATGAAAAGTCCAAATAAACCAACTGCCACGTAAATCATTATAATCAGCAGAAAGTTCACATCTGCCAGCGTGGTAAGTCTCGGTCCCTTAGCTTATTGCAACAGTACAGAAAATCAACACAAAAAAAAGAGTGAAAGTCCAACAACCTTACACAGAACCATGTATCATATCATATAGCCCTGAATTCCTTATAAACCCTCCAAAGACAAGTTTTCTTTTATTTTATTTTTCCCAAGAATTTCTCAAACTCCAACTTTTATAACATCTCATCCTACCCATCGATAACAATGTTTAACTTCTCATCATAAATCATGTTAACCAGTCCATAATTTGATGTTAAGAACAAAAAACTTAAAAAAGCTAACTTCTCACTGCATCCATAAGCAAGTTACCACATTCCTCATCTTCCCAATCAATTAACCTAATAAAAGGTTTACACCCTCCAATCAAAGGCTCCACTGTGCATTCCCTTAAATAAAAAACGCAAATTGACAATTTATTGGAGTACCCATTTTTCCTCCAAAACGTACTCATACCCTATTAAACCCATTTGTAAAAACAGTAGTGCTTTCTATACATAGAGGCAAAATCCACAAAAGGGTTGTTGTAAAACATAAATGTGAGATAAAGGGTCATAAAAGAAGGGGCAAAAAAGCAAATCAAGCTCCAACAAAGCATACCAAAAGGGTACCAACCCAATACATGTAGAATGGCAAAGAGAAGCGGATACTGCGGAAGCGCACACTGTGATCCACGACGAAGGAAAGTGGTGACGTAAAGAGAGAAAGAAACCCCTTTGAGCCAAATTTGAAGGGGTAGTTGAATTGAAGTTGGATAGTTTGAAATGTTTTGAAAATTAAGAATATTGTTCACTGTTCGCAATTCTGGGATTTGGGTTTCCCGGCTCACAGGAACATAATAGAACAAAATGGTTAAATTATATTTTTGTATAAAAAAAATATATTTTTATCTTACTTTTAACATTCATTTTGATATTTAACTTCTAAATTTAGATTAATCTAATTTTTTAAAATAATAATTATTTTCAATTTAAGTGTAAGACACAATTTTAATTTTTTTAACTGATTTAAATTGTGAACTTGTTTAATTAACTTTATTTGTATAAAACTAAGGAACAAAATTATGTTTAAAAAAATGCCTATAAAATATTTAAGAAATAATTCACTTATTATCTCCTTTGAAGTTGATATTAATTGTAATTAAACTTTTTAATTAAAAAATATATTTATTTTCTTTCAAAATAAGACATATTATCTATTCAAGATTTGTTAAATCTTACAGATAAAAAATAACTTATTAAGTCCTGAAATTGAGAAAATTCACCAATTAAAAGTTTTTTTAATATATATATATATATGTAATGTAA